AACCGTGCGACCCGAGTCGCGCAGGCGGTTCGTCACGGGTGGTTCGACGCGCCAATTCGACACGGATCGGGATGCCGCCAACTCGAACCAGGGAAAGCACCTTAAATCGGTCCGGTCCAAGCTGAACACGAACCAGTTCGCCCCGAACCGACAGTGATGAAAAACCAGCGCTTCGGTGTTTCGCTCATGCTTACCGATGCATGAATGTCGGCTTACATTTCAGATATTCGAAGTGACAACAACGCTGGTGGGATCTCCCCACGAAAGTTGTTTCGGCCAAGATTTCTGCAACCAGAGAGAGGGAAAGCACGATCTGCACATGTGAAAGCTTTTGTACAAACAAATAGTATAGTTTAAGCTTTTGTTATTTCTCGATTCTTGAGTAGTCCCAGAACTAGGTTACTCAATACGCACGCATGATTTGGGAAATCAGCTTTAGTTGTGTCCAGAATGGTGAGGAAATTATAGGATTTAATGATCCTCAACTTGCAGAACCTTTGGCCTAGTAACCGTTCTAATGTTGTTTTCTTAGCAAAAGTCTTGGGTCGAGAGCCTCAGAATGACATGCTCCCAAGTATCTTCAACAAACAAATCCAATCTTCCTTGTCAGTCTCACAAGCTGCACTAACCATGCCACACACGTTCCGATGCTTCACGCACCCATGCTACACCACCCTACTGATTTGGCATTCTAGAAATCTAACGAATGTAGTATTTTTCTGTGTTATGGGAAAGGGATACTGACAAATAGATCAGGCCTTCCATTCTAGAGATGTCATTGGGAATGGTCCCATGAAATGAATTCTGGCTGATGTCTCTGTGATGAGCGCACATTCAAAATGGGGTGATATTGGGAATGTAAACCATTCTGGTACGAGATGTGTGCTCAAACAAAGGAACTGTTTGGATGAATCAAGGAAAACACAAAATCATCGAGGTAGAGAACAAAGTTGTAAATACAACAACTGGCAAAGTTGTAAAGTTCGCCAATTCGTGCCAGAGCATTGATTTATTTTTTAAATATGTTCCTGTTTCTTCTGCACATGCTGTTCAGAACTGTTCTGGTCAGGGGTTTTGCGTTTTTCAAGCATCTCGCGCTTTTAAGTGTTCAAGCTTAAGCGGTTCAATGCTAAACAATCACATGAGAATGTGCATAGAGACTTTTTCCACCACCATAAAATCCAGTAACTGCCACCACCAAAGCAGAACAAATCGATCAGCAAGCTAATGTTTGCCCCTACGCATGTGAGAACATACAGAGAAGCAAGGTTGGTGAGCCTCAGCAGGACCGTGGGAAATGGCCCTTGGAGATTGTTGCCTTGCAAAGTCCTGTACGAGTAAGAAAACGAGGCGTACAGTGGCGTGGGGTGGTAGGAAGTGACGCAGGGGAAGCAACAGACAGGCAGTCAAAACCTTGTGCGTGTGAAGTTAGGAGAATAGCTACTGGGGCTTTTAATGCAGTCAAAGAACGATTGGTACATACATACATCACGTTAAAGCACAGTCACCTTGCAAGCAAGAACAGCAGTGCAAACAAGCAACTCACAAAAAATTGAGTTGTGAAAGGGAGGACAAGCTCGAATAGCCATGGGTGAAATTGTTGAACGATACATCCCTGCAATGCAAGCACAAGCACACCAAGTGCATCACAGAAATCGAAACAATTCTACCTGGAAAAAAACAACTCCGATCAGTGGTAAAATCAGGATGGAAGGAGGCGGGTCCAATACCAAGAAATAGCAAGAAACAACAACTGCGACACGTTGTGTTTTGTCGTCTCAATGTGTTGGCTGTTGTTGGATTGAAAGCTCACAGCTTCGAGTAGCATATCAAGTCTTAACATTAGCAAGTATCTCTGAAGCGCCTCACAACTTGAGGAGCAACGTACAATGTCTGCAACCATGTCATCTCGCCCAACACCTCAAGCCCTGAGCTTAGCTGGTTGTATTGAAGCGACCTGAAATAGCCAAGCACACGAGGCAGCAGCAAGCATCAGGAGGCAGGAGAGCAAGGGCAAGGAGGGCCGAGGGACAAGAGAATGGAGGGGGGAAGCGAAGGCCTGAAGCGCCGCCACCCTGCATACAGCACAGCACTAGGAAAAGCAGTATGGAAAAGAGATTCATACGTTTCAATCACTCATTCACATGTCAGTTAGATGGGGTACTGTATCCAAACAACGAAACCTCTGAAGTTCGTTCGTGCCCCCAACTCACATGTGCATAGAGCAACCACATAACCTTACCCCGGATATGCGTAACTCTATCCACTTGGGGATCCTCCGAGGCTGCTCAAAGCTGTTCTCCAACACAAACCTGAACCCCCCCCCCCAACACTCTCTTTGCCCGGATACTCTCCTCCCATTAGGGATGAGCAATATAACGAACTCCTGTTCGGTTCGCCTCGAACAGGATTTTTTTTTGGCCTAAATTGTTCGGGGCGAACGTTCGGTGTTCGCCCGAACACGTCCGCCGTTCGCCCGGCTCAGCTGGCCGAGGCGCGTCGAACACGAACGTGTTCGTGTTCGACACGGACCTTTGACAAACACCAATGTGTTCGTCGACGAATAGGCCCGCGACCAATTTTTAGGTCGCGGGCCTTGGTGTTTGGGCTCAGATTTGGCATTTCGCCGTTACTTAAGTGCAGGTCTAGCACTACGCCGTCAGTAAAGTGCAGATCTAGCATTTCGCCGTTGCTTAAGTGCAGATCTAGCATTTCGCCGTTGCCTAAGTGCAGATCGAGCATTTCGCCGTTGCTTAAGTGCAGATCGAGCATTTTGCCGTTGCTTAAGTGCAGATCGAGCATTTCGCCGTTGCTTAAGTGCAGATCGAGCATTTCGCCGTTGCTTAAGTGCAGATCGAGCATTCCGCCGTTGCTAAAGTGCCGATCTAGCATTTCGCCGTCACACGCTGGCACTAGCATGGATGAAGCAGGGCGGGACTGGCTTGGGGGGTGGGGGGAGGGAATGTGCAACGATTTGAATTTTACTCTATTTGGACCTTCAGCCACCTAACAAATGTCAACAATGCACAATCCACAAACGTGTGATTTTGGTGAATGTAGTCCCGGGGCAACAAGGTGTTCGCCTTCACAGGCGAATGGCGAACACCCTTGGGGAAGTCGATCGGCGAACCGAACACTGTTCGGTTCGCCGAACGGCGGTGTTTGTGCAGGGGCGAACGCGAACACGTTCGTGTTCGCCTCTTGCTCATCCCTACCTCCCATCACTGATTTCCAATTCGGCTCTGCAAATCAAGTAGCCTTGGAATAGCAAAGGCAGGCTGTCAAGTACTAATCTGCAAATTTAAAACCGGAGTCCCAAACAGCCCCAAAGTGCCTCAACCTTCCTAACTTTGAGAAAGGGTGACTTAGTAGGTACGACTCACTTCGCAAATCGGGGGAACAATTTTCGTCATGCGAAACTACTGTTCTAGCGAGGACGAAAGCAGTGACGATTTCGCCAACGAATTTGAAATCCGTCCGAAACTGTCTGCGAACCAGTTCTGACTTTGCATTCCAGATCTGGTTATTTTCGCGAAATTTTCTTCCTTTGCGACCCCAGACCACCAATTTCGACACCAACCTGGCTCGCGAGCCAGTCACCTTTCTCTCCCCTTTCAACCTTCCTAACTTAGGAACTCTTGGACCTCCGGTTTTAAGCTGTCTTGGGGGCGACTCATAAGCAGCCTACCCAGGTATACTTGGGCCGTCAAGTTAAAGACTCAGAGAAAAATCCCCCCAACCGCCGCCAACTCACTTGGGGTCTATACCTAAGCCAGCTAATTCCACTTGGCCGAAATTTCCCCCACCACCCTGCCCCCGCCTCCCCCTTCCCCCCTTCTTTCGCCTTGTTGTGACTGGGACTGCCTATGTTGCAAAAGACGCTCAGGGCATCCTGCGTCCGGACGCAGGACGCTGGACGCACGCCAAGACGCAGGACACATGGCGGATTTTTTTTCAGGCTGACCGAAAAAAAAAAAATTGCGCAGCGCGAAAGTGACATTCGCGCTTTTGTCGCGAATGTCAATTTTGCGAAATTTCGACCCCCCCCCCCCCCCCCCCACCCATTGCGACCTTAAAAAACCGCCCCCCAACCAAGTTTGAAAACCCCCCCAACCATTGTGGTCCACCACCAAGTACTTGTAGTAGCGCAAACGCTTCAATTGCCTCCATATCTCAAGCTCACTTAATTCTCCATCAAAAACCCTAGAGGGTTTAGCTCCTTCAATTCTCCTTCAAACACCCTAGACCACGTGTGACTCTTGGGAAACCTGTTTATGGGGAAAAATATATTGGATGGGGAAACCTTTGCCTCAAATGTGTGCTACGTCGTTCTCCCCCCCTCCTTCCCATGCCCTATAGCATGTCTTTTTGGCTGCCCGGACGTTTTTTTGCCCTGCCCAGGCATGCGTCTTTTTCAGCGTCTCACAGGCCCCAAAGAAGACGCACGCGTCCTAGACGCAGGACGCGTCTTTTGCAACATAGCTGCCTGCATGCGAAGCACTTTGACATCAGGCATACACACTCCACAATCTTCCCCCAACAATATCAATGGTAGTGATTGGTGCAGTAACAATGCCGATAGTTCTTACAGGAGCAAGAGATTGGAAAGGTTGGTGAATGAGTTTGGCAATGCCCCTGAGAAGTTGTTCGTAGAGAGGTCCCTTGAGGAATGAAGGTGCGCGAGAAGGAAGGAATGGTGAGAGTGGCGAGAGGAGGAATGGTGAGTGTGGCGACAGAGGGAATGGTGAGAGTGGCGACAGGAGGAATGGTGATAGTGGCGAGAGGAGGAATGGAAGTAGGCGCATTAAAAGATGATTCTTTGACTGTAAGGAGCGAGGGGCACTTTAGCCCGATTGTATGGTTTGGCCTATGGATGATATGGCATATAATTGAACACTCAGAACAGATAAATATATACTCACAAGCTTGTGAGGCCGAAGAATGTGCCAATGAAGGGTGGGATGACGCCAAAGAAGTGATTCTCCGAAAGGCCACTGATGTCATAGCAGAGGGGACAGCCGCATGTGCGAAATCGTTGAGACAACAGCTTTGCAACAGCAGAGGAACACAAGAAAGCCAGAATAGAAAGAGATACATTGCAGCATGAATGACAGAGGGGGGAAGACAAGAGAAGGTGGGGGAATGAGCACGGGGGCGGGCATGGGGGCGAGCATGGGGCGTGCATGGGGCGGGCATAGGGGCGGGCATAGGGGCGGGCATGGGGCAGGCATAGGGGCGGGCATGGGGCGGGCATGGGGGCGAGCATGGGGGCGAGCATGGGGGCGAGCATGGGTCGGGCATGGAGAGGAAAGGATGTACAGATCCTTGAGGGTAGTGGAGAGGACGGGTGGGATGGTGCCGTCCATAGCGTTCCTGTCTAGAGCCCTGGTTCACATCACGAGCATGGGTGGGAATGTTCCAGAAACAAACAGTTATACTCTCTTGCCTACATGGGCTTCGACAAAGTATACAAAAAAAAAGTCGGGAGGGAGGGGGCGGGGTGGAGGGTGGAAAGGGGGGAAGGGGGAGAGGGGAAAGAGGGTGTGGTGTGGGAAGGAGGAAGGGGGGGAAGTGAGGGGGAACGAAAGTAGGGGGGAGAGGGAGGGGGGAAAGAAAGGGGGGTGCTGCGTGCGGGTGCGGGAGAAATACGGGGGTGGGGGCCTTCTGCTCTGCGTTGCTCAAAGGGCATATTCTGGATGCACATTCAAGGTTTGTCTGTCCTAGTTGAGCGTGGCTTTTCCAAGCTCCGACCATGCCAAGGCCTCCATGCCTTCTCAATCACAAGGCCTTCTCGGATGGGCAGCAGAATCAACAAGCCTCCAACCAATCATTGGCTGACTTTGACCAAGATTGCTGGATACCCCACACAGTTATTTATTCTGCCAACCTAACCAACCCCTCAAGTTCCACGACTGCTTGTCAGGCTCTGCACTAATCCAATAACCACTTCTGTTTCTGCACAGGCCGGTCACGAACCTAGAAAGTTTCGAGACAAATTTTTGTAAGACCGAGTTTCCAAAGACGAGCCACGGGTTGGCTTGGTGAGGCTACTACAGCCTCACTCACTCGGGCCAGCTGGATTTCGATCAACCCAGCACAAGCAACATAGAGCCCAACTAGGTTCGGCCTGTGCTCATGCCTACAATGTGCTCAGCGTTGTGAGAGCAACGAATGTCGATGGGATGGAGCCCTCTATGCTGTTGCGGTCAAAGGATCTGCGAGAAAGCACATGGGAATCAATCAAATACAAACAGCGCGTCTGAAATAGGAGGTGGGCGTGGAGCAAGAGGAAGGTGAGCGTGAGACGCAAGACCTATTGAGCGAGGGAGATCCGATGAGGAGAACCTATGAGAAGCAATGTTAAGCTATGAGACGCAATGATAAGCTATGAGAAGCAATGATAAGCTATGAGAAGCAATGATAAGCTATGAGGAGCAATGATAAGCTATGAGAAGCAGTGATAAGCTATGAGAAGCAATGATAAGCTATGAGAAGCAATGATAAGCTATGAGACGCAATGATAAGCTATGAGAAGCAATGATAAGCTATGAGAAGCAATGATAAGCTATGAGACGCAATGATAAGCTATGAGAAGCAATGATTAGCTATGAGAAGCAATGAGAAGCTATGAGAAGCAATGCGTGGCAAAGAGATGGCAATAGGGTCCTGTAGCATAGGACAGGAAGATCAAAATGATAGAAAACGGGGGTTAGGTGTCGTGAAGTATCCCCCAGCCAGCCGGCCTTCCCTTCTCATGGTTAGCCCTCTTCTCACCCTTTGTCCCCTCATCCTCTCTCCCCCGCCTTTATCACTCTTCCAGAACCCTTCCCTCCTTCCCCACCCTTTATGTATTGTGCATCCCTGTCAAACAGGCTACTCGAAAACAAGTGTTTATGTCCCTAGCAAGGGCTACGCCTGATTGCTTCTGGTTCTCCTAGCTGCTTGACTTCTTGGTTGAAAAACAAATTGTAGTAGACAGAGAAACATAAAAGCAGGAGGCAAGGAGCCCGAGGTCATTCTCTGCTTACAACCTAAGCCATCTTGCCTAACTTCCCCCTCACCTACGAGCTCTGGTGTTAGGCACGACTCTTCCCTCACCTACTAGCTCTGGTGTTAGGCTCGAGTCAGCCGAGCAGCTTGCGTAAGCTCCAAGGTGGTAGCTGGGTCCCACTCAACCCACAGGGCATGCACCGCCTTCCAGGCTGGCTGCCTCGAAATTAAGATTCCAGGCTGGTTTCGAATTAGCCAATGCCCCTTACCAACCTCCCCGACTCTTCCCCGACAACTTGGCTCCGAAAACAGCAAGTACAGTAACATTTGAAGCACACAAATGAAACTACAAGTAGAAAGGCAAAATATAGTACACCCTCACATTAGCTGCTGTGCAATCCACGCTTAGCCACTGGCTAGGTGTTAACAGGGCGTCATAGAGACCTTTGAGACGTCTCAAAAGTTGTTAATAGCGCGACATAGAGCTGAGTAGAGTAATTGTGAAATCGCGTTCAGACGCGGGCTTGCCAAAAGAAGGCTTGCAAATAAAATGAGGCTCACAATAGAATGAGGCAAGGCTTACTGGTAATTAAGTAAGGTGCTCCGATGAGACCATTTTTTAGGCGCCTCATAAACAGATTGAGGCAAGGCTCACAGGTAAGTAAGGTGCTCCAGTGAGGTCCAGTACTCTGGTAGAGTCCCAACCAGCCCGTTGCCTGTCGCATCACTGCCATTCGAAAACGAAAAAGCCTTCTTAATGTCATCGCTTGATGTCAGCGCATCAAAAGTGTTATGGCTTCACATGCACTGGCTTATCATTGAACGACTTTAGAAGCATTGTGGCTTCGCATACACAGGCTTACCATTGCACCCATGCCAGTCGTCCGCTTAAATGGGGTCTCACTGCTGCTATTCAACAGATTCTATTTCAGCCCAGGAACATCTGCGGCAAGGCCCACACCACACAGCCACGGTTTCTTGAAAAAAAAAAAGGATCGTGTGTACCATACGCGTCCCTTTCCCTTGAATGGGAGGCTTGTGTGGCTTGTGTTTCTGCTGAACAGCAAGGAACTGATTTGTGAACTGCCTGACGTACAGCTGCAAAAGATCCTCTTCCTTCTCCTCCTCTTGATGGTGATACGCATCCGCCATGCACTCCTTGCTGCTCCTTGTAACTGGTTGTTCTACCGAACTATTAGCTTTCCCTGTCAGCGATTCGTGTCCCAGTGGTGTAGCAATATTTTCTTTAGAGACTTTTAGAAAACGGGATGGAGGCACAGGCACAGGCGCAGGCACAGGCACAGGCGCAGGTGCAGGCACGGGCGCAGGCACAGGCACAGGCGCAGGCACAGGCACAGGCGCAGGCTCTCAAGCTTTGAGTCGGCTCATGACCCGGCGCACACACTGAAGACGGGTGGAGTTGGCTGCAGCCTGCAGGCACTCATCCTCGACGGCGCAGATTGAGGGCGCAGATTGAGGGCGCAGATTGAGGGCGCAAACACTCACAAGTGGCGCAGTTGGTTAAGGCGGGAGAGGTCTTGTGGCACCACCCCTGTGCGGAGATTGCTGCTGTGATATGCATCCCTGGCATCACACGTACGGATGGGTGGAGGTATGGTAGGGTAGAATGAGTGCTCAGGCCCTGGCTAAACAAAGGATGAACAAAAAAACCTAGGAATCGCTATGTTCAAATGGTAGCAGCTGTGCTCTGAGATTGATGGCTCCTGGCTGGCGAGAAAAAAAAACTATCTGCTGACGTCAAAATAAACAAGGAAGAGGACATGCAGAGGACAAAGGTCCAATCCAATCCAACAAACAACCCCACACAATGCGTATGTGAGACGTGCTTTGTATGTGTAAAGGTATCAGCTGAGACGACACTTGCTAGATATAGTGAGACGTGCGTGCGTACAGGTACTGTAGTGCAGTCAAGTCCATGGCCCATCGGGGGAACTGGGAAGTCTGCAGCGCACTCAAGTCCCTGCGGCATGTGAGAATGATTTTGCAAAAAAAAAAAAAAGGTACCGGTGTGTAAAGTGTGCATGACCGAAGGTTGAACTCGAACCAGGTTGAACCCGTGCTGTTGAAGTGGGTCGAGCGGGCTACTGAACTTGTACTTATTGCTCGGGCGGGTTTCATGGATTATGGAAGTTGAGCTTGTGTTTATTAGACAGGGTAGAACGCACTCGGCCTCAAGTAAGACAAGGTTGGGTTGGAAATGGGAAGGGAAAGGATGGAATGGAAAGCCAACCGACTTCCAATGGTGAGTCGGCAGACTGCGAAGGACCCCCTCCTTGGCATCACATCAGAGCAGGGTCACAGAGGTGAAGGGTTGGCTATTGAGGCGCCTCAAAGGCAGGCAACTGGTTGATATTTGAGGGCTCACACAGGCAAGTGAGGGGAGTGATGGTGCTGAGCAACTCCCTCACGCAGATGAGGTGAGGGCTCACAAGTAAGTGAGGGAGGTGAGGGTGCCGAGCAACACCGGTAGCTCCCCGGTCCAAAATACATCCGAGATGGTGCTGTTGAAGGTGTGGAGGGGGGCATGAGTCATGATTATGGAGGGATACATGAAAGGTGGTTGGCAGGGACACAGGACAGGACACGGGCATGCCTTCATTGATGTGAGATGCCTCAGAACGAGGGAAATAATTCCCGCAGTGTAGGCATGGTCAAGGGTCGGCCATATGCTGACCTTGTCTGGTCAGTAGTGGCGTGGAGTGGAGTGGAGTGGAGTGCAGTGGAGAGGAGTGGAGTGGAGTGGAGTGGAGTAGTGAAGTGGAGTGCAGTGGAGTGCAGTGGAGTGCAGTGCAGTGGAGTGGAGCAGAGAGGAATGGAGTGGAGTGGAGTGGAGTGCAGTGAGATAGCACCAAAGCATGTGCATCTCGGCTGAAACACACAATGCCCAGCTAAGAGACTTAGCAATATTAATTGAAACGTAGTCTTACAATAGCGATGACAACATAATTATCAAGAACGGCAGAGAGCGGAACAGAGAGACGAGTTGCAACTTATCACACACACTTCTTCTTAAAGGCTTTGGAGGGCCTTGAGGGACTTACAGGCTTTGGAGGGCTTTCAGGGCTGTGAGGAAGGTGAGGACTGACAGATCCCCAATCACATTGTACATTCCTGACATCCCACTGATATGGTTTGGGCCAGGCCGCAGGGGTAGGGCTCTTGGTAAACGCCGAGCTAATGATGGTTTTGATGAGATATGAGCTTACAATAAGCTTGAGGCTGGAATATACTGGCCAGTAAAATACAACTTCTCCTAAAGGAAAAAAAAAAAAAAAAAAAAAAACCTCCCAGTGGCAAGAAACGATCTTTACGGGAGGGGCACAGCCTGAACATGAGCAATCTCCGAATCAAGGCGACTCCTTTTGAGGCGCCTCAAACTATTTTAGGCGCCTCAAAAGTCTTTACGGGAGGGGCACAGCCTGCCTGAACATGAGCAATCTCCGAATCGAGGCGACTCCTTTTGAGGCGCCTCAAACTATTTTAGGCGCCTCAAAAGTCTTTATGGGAGGGGCACAGCTTTCCTGAACATGAGAAATCACCGAGTCAAGGCAACTCGAGCCAGGCTCAGCTCAGCCGAGCTTCAGTCGAGTCCAGTCGACACGATTCATGTCGAGACGATTCAAGTCGAGTTGAGTGGGGTAATGCATTGAGAGAATGGGCTGAGTCAAGTCGAATGGA